AGTTGATTGTTTTGTCACATTAATTTTCCATGATTCACTTTTCTATAATTTTGCTAATATCATTTTCATCGCTGAGTTAGGTTTTTTAATTCCATGATGATTTTCAGGTAGGGTCAACCAAGATCAACAGAATCGTCGAGCGAAACAACTTTGGCTCGCATGTGAACGCCTTAAAACTGAATTGGAGATGAGCTCTCAAGGCGATGACCAGAAACGGCCGCCCTTCGCTGAATTAGTATTGGAATCTGCTTTCTCTTGGCGTCTTAGGTGGAGCATGGTTGTTTTATAGGTGAACACCATAAAGGAAGCTGGAGCGGACGATGTGTTTGTTCATACAATGTTGGATGCTGTGCCAAAGGAATGCATGGAAACAGGAGTACTTGGCGAGACTGAGTTGGCATCTCGATTCGGAAAGGTAAATAGTAAACATAGTGAATAGTAAAACTGCCATGGTGATTATTCATATTGATAATTAAAGTAAAAGTTTTGCGTAATGTTGTTGAAGAACCAGTTTTAGGTCTTCCATATATAAGATATTCGATGCACATCTTGGTAGCTGTCTGTATTTTCAATTTTAACAGCAGTTTTTGATTGTATACTCAGTTTCAATGTCCTGTGGCTCCGGTTGATTTCACTTTCACATAGGTTAATTTTCGTTTTCCTAAAATGATCTTCGTGTTCCCCTGTTTCATTCCGTTTCTAAGCTACGTCTTTCCTCGAATGTTCAGCTTTCCAGCGACTTTTTGATAACAGTGCTCATATTCTTTCATGCCTTCATTCACTTATTCACTCATATACATGTATAATTTTTAGATTAAATACTATTGTGATGAATCGTGGAGCCGTAGGATTCTTAAATGGTTCCCTATGTGACTAGAATTAAGAAGCGGCACATTTTCGCGTGTAAATTTAGCCATCATCAGAAACAGGTCTAAAGACTATTTCGGTGATGCGGTTTAAGGCGCACAGAACTACAACATATTGCCAGGACCAGCAAATCACCTCATTGTATAATGCTTGATGAATAGAAGTTTCTCTTCTTATTCATCGTGGTTACTTATCCGTATTCTTTGTTAAAAATGACGTGTTTAATTTGAATATCTGACCGTATTTCTTGCATCATCGTTTGGTTTGAGGTAAATAAGCTGTGTCGTCGAACCGCATTGGTTGGAGACGAAGGCGGTGGCCTGTTGATACATTTATGGTCGTACCTACAGTCGCTGTTTATCTTCGCTTCCGTGAACAAGGTCTCCCCCGACGACGAGATTCACCTTAGAGCTGATCAGAACACCTTCGAGCTGTTAGCCCGGGCCAAGTGCTTCGTGAAAAGCAAAGACCTCATTTCAGCTGTCAAGTAGGCATTACAGATCTCATATCTTATTTCGATTTGATTATTTTAATGCTTAATTAAATTAATTTTAATTTGACGATTGTTTATGCGTTGAATTTTATAGCAGCAGCGTGAATGAATTGTAAATGGCCTGAAAGTTTCTTGCCTGAACAGAGTTTTCAGGCTTTTCAGCAAAGTTAAGAAACAGAAAATGTTATCATATTAGTCAACAGTCAATTAATACGAAGGAATGTTGAAAAGGCAAATCGAACTATAGGGCAAAGTACGAACGAAAGTGCAATTACTGGCTTACTGAACGACGGTCGCATGATGTAGAAGAAATCTGACACTTTTATTCAATCGTTAATTTACAAAGCATGTTATTTCATGCGTGGGCGCAAAGGTTGTCAGTGTTGTAGGGAGATCAAGAGGCATTTCAAACCAACCCCCTCCAAACAAACAAGCCCGTCGTCTGATTTAAATTCAAGGAATTGTTTTCCCTGTGACAGGGTGCTTCTGCAGCTTTTCTGTGGCATTCTCATCATTCATCAGAAGTTTTAAGTTTCAGTCTGGTCCTGTCTTCCGGAGTTGTATTTCGAACCGATAACTTAACTGCCAAGTATTACAGCTAAGATTAACTAGGCGTGGTTGTACGTTGTCTAAGAGGTTGGCTTCGAACTCTTGTGGTATCGGGTTCGATTCAGACAGAAGACAATTTTCGTCATGAGTATAAATTCCTTTGAGCAATGAATTTTCATACATTGCTTCAGATTGGGGTTGCTCAGTTGGTAGAGCGTAGGAATCAGAACCCAAATTTGACAGGTTCACGTCCTTCAGGTTGTGTCTCTCGCCTTTCTTCCTTTCGAGGTAGAGTAGTGAGTACCATTCTATGACAAGAAAACAGGAAACTATAGAATATGTACTTGTCATTATTAATGCTGTCGATTCTGTCTTTAAAAAATAATACACTCCTCGCTCGTGGCATGTAAATGGCGATCAACACTCACCATTAATTTCATGAAAAGAAGGGCGCTAGAAATGGCCCACCGCGTAACTATAAGGGTATAATGCCAGTGGTTTCAAATTTTCCTTCCTTTTTCAAAAATCTGCAGACCAATCAACTTCATTGAACGACAGTAGAACACTAATGGTATCACATCTTTTGATTTAGTTTGTAAAATTTAGGAGTTCTTAGAATTTGGTAATGCGCTCATGTTAATGCTGGGGGCACACTCGTTCCGTAGTGATCCTTTCGAGTATTTTTCCAATCAGCTTCTTCAGTGATTAGATTGCCGCACCATTTGATACTGTCGTTAAAGTTATTGAGTTGATTCCCTAGTTGTTTGACCGCTATCTCATGTGTTGCCGTCGTAAATGTTTTTTTTGGGTGGGGGTGGGCGATCGGCCGTGGCTACTGTAATGCGTGAACCTCTTCGAGATTGTGGAGTTGTTCAAGGAGAAATACTAGCTTTCCGGACCAAACCCTACGCAATAGTTAACGGGCAAAAAACCCGTCTAGTTCGTCGCATCCTGAAGCCGCTCAACCAGGGGAGGTTACTTTGGGAATCTTAACCGGGTAAGGGGAACGAGGCTGCTGCTATTTGAGATGATTAAGTCTACTTGGCGGCATTTGATCTTTTCTGAACAAAAAAGTAATTAAAATTTAGTCATTTAAAGCGCGAATCGAAGTTTATTGATTGCAGATTATTAGTAATTTGTCATACTGTAAATTTATTCGTCTTGAATGTTTGTGCAGGTCGATTTTATTTATTATAAAATTGGTATTTTCTGTTTTATTCAAGTGATTGCGAATGACATAACGAATGCTGTTGTTTAGAGTTTTGAGACTGCTGAAAGGAGAACCGGCTGACATAGCTTCAGGGTGGGTAAAAGACGTAACTCGTTATTTGGAGGTGAAGCAGGCTGTCGATTTGCTGACTGCGTATGCTGCCGTCGTCTCTATGAGGACTATTTACTAATTGATTTCTGTTTGTGTCGAATTGAATAAAGCGTTAGTATTTTATTTCATTTTTATTTCTGTGACTGTAAACGGTTTTCGTTACTTCTGTTTCGCCGATTAATCGTTTGATACACAGACTTGTTAATGTGCCATAAATTCGTCTCATGTATGTGCATATTAAGTTATATACTTACGTAGCTATTGGCGTAATGACAGTTAGCGTTAAACTTCAACCATCCATTAAAGCATTTTAAGCAGCGATATGACCGTTTGCCATATGATTAATTCGTCAGTACGCAACTAAACAGGTAACTAACTCAGTATGCAAATAAGTTCGTAACCTACTACGTATGTAAGCAATCCCAAAGTAAACATTTAATTAAGTCATCAAATAGGCATGTAAATGATTGAAAAGTAGGTGTAACAGAAAATTCACTCTGATCCTGCTGCTTGTCTGTTTCCACTAAATGACTCTGACGATGGATACTATAGTTAGTCAGTTTGGATGACCGTTTGTTCTGTTAGAATGCAGAGGCAGACGCGTGAGACATTGTCTCCAACGTTCGCGATCGTGTGTTAGCATTTGAGCTTCGGTGGAAGATAACCTGAGTGTGAAGGAGAGTCAGTCCTAGCTATCGCCATGTTCTTTGACCGGTTGGTTCAGCAGATAGTAATGAAGATTTTGTCTGAAACGTTGGTTCCTTCAATATAGCTTTTTAGCGTTTAACTTTGGTTTTTATATCCGTTTTTTATATAGTATGAGACTACTTGTACAGGTTCTATTCAAAAAATAAGTACTTTATTTAAGAAGTAAGAAAGTAAACAATGACATAATTGTGCATTAAATCAAGCGGCTATGGAAATAAACAAGTAAGAAACTAAGTAAATAAGCTATTAAGCAGTTAAAGTAAATGTACAAAGAAATAAAGAAATAGTGCTCAAGTGAGGAAGCATATGAATCAGTAACTATATAAGTAAATGGGGAATTCAGTATGTAAGCAGCTTATAGTAACTAAGCCGAAAGATATGTAGCTACGAAATTAAGTTAATCACTATTTACTGAATACATGAGAATGTCAAGAAGTAAATAAACAAGTTAGATAGAAGGCAAGTACTTGCAAAAGTAAGTACCTCAGTAAGGAGGTCCGTTAAATACGTAAACGAGCGTGTATGAAAGTACTTTGATAGTAAGTTAAAAGACAAACAAGTAAATAAATAAGTGCTTAATGACGTAGGGTAAACGAGTGAATAGTCATTAAAAAAACATTTAAGTGATCAAATAAGCAAGTGTATAGGCGAAAGTTAAGAAGCAACTACGTACGCAGGCAAAAATGAATGAAATATGTAAAAACAAGTATATCGCTTACAGAAAATTAAACAATAGGACAAAATATGCAAAATAGTGAATGATTAAGTAAGCACTTGATTAAATGCGCATGTAAGTATTTAAGCTGTTAAGTTGGTAAGTTGTAAGCAAGTAAGTAGCTAAGGGAGCGGGTGCATTAATCAGCAAATAAATAAACTAATAATTAAAAGAATATAGTTTAATACGTGCATGAGTAGGTAAATCGGCTAATAAGTTTTGTAAACAAGTTATTTATTACGTCAGTAGAAAGGTAACTAATTATTTAAACATAGATGATTGCTTTATCTAATTATGCTGTTTAACATGCGAAAACTAAGATATGCATGGAGTGAAAGAGATTTAAATGGCTGTAAAGTTGAAAGGAAAAGCTTAAGGTAAA